GAATTTATTTTAGTAGTTCGCAGGTAATACTTAGCCTGCGAACTACTAAAATAAGTGTTTAATTATCATATATAAATAATTAAAAATCTATCAGGTAAAGGTTTAGGTTCAATTGCTAAATTTTCAATTCAATTTATAAATTTTGTATAGTCTCCTCCACCAGTAATATGATTATCAATATCTACTATAAGTTTTGATCGAGCAATAGAATACTTAATTGCAGATGTGGCAAGATTTATTTTAGAAATATATTTGCTATGTCGTGATTTGTAAATTGCATCTATAGCAGTTATACATTTGAAATTTTTATTTTGACATAGCTGTTCATCATCATTGTTTGTAAGTGTCTCGATAAACTTTACTATTACAGGATTACGATATTGAAGCCAATTAGAAGGGTCAAAGGCTAATAAGTTCTCTAACAAAAATCGGGTTTAATCATTAATTAAATAAATAATATCATATAAAAATTTTCGTTCTAATAAAGCAATTTTAATAATTTCTATTACACGTTTTTGTTGAGTACTATATCGTTCATTCTATTGTTCTTTTAAGTATATATTTTCATTTTCTAATTTATTTTTTTCATTTGTTAGTATTTTAACTTGATTTTGATATAAGCTTAAAAGCTTTAATTTAGTATTAAGTTCAGTAATTTGTTTTTTAAGAAATTCGCATTTATTTTCTAATTCAGAAATTCTATTATTTTTAGCTTGAATAATTTGTAATTGATTAGAATGATCAGTTACAAGATTAGCTAAAGAAGTTTTCAAAGTATCTATTTGTATTAAAAGATCATTATTTATTGTTACTTGAATTCCGATATCAATGGTTGAAGATTCTTTTGGAATATTACTTAAAATCAAGCTATTATTTAATGTTAATAAATTGCGACTTCTTTTTCGAGAATAATCAGATATTTTATCTCTTAAATAGTCTAAATAGATATCTTTTGCAAAGATCTGATTATAATGTTTTTCACAAACCTTGTACTTTTATAATTCATTTTCAGACTATTTAATTCAGGAAAATAAGGTTCAAATAATTGAATTCGGGTTTTAATAAAATTAGTAAATGCATTGCGCATTCTTTGATCTTCTTTAGTTTCACATTCAGCTAATTGCTTCGTGTGATGATAAGATTCAACAAGTTGACTAAATAAACAAGATAAGTTTTGTAATTCTTGTGGATCTTTAGTTTATTTTTAAAATATAAATGTAAATAATTAACTCTTGTAAAAAAAATATAATTTACAGTTTACTAACCATTCATTTTTATTAAATATGATATTAACGTAAGAAATAATTTAACGCTTATATTTTTATACCAGAGCTAAAATAATACTGTAATATATGAATGATGCCAAGGGAAAATGGGATCTCGATTATATATGATTGAGGTTCTATTTTCTTTGGCATCGCTCTTAATAAATGCTGGCTACTTGATATGTATCATTCCTAGTTCACATTAAATTTGTGTAGTCTTTGTATCGAGAAAGTTATTTTAAACAATGGGCAATAACACAATAAGTTACTATATATTATTTAGTCTGTTTTACGCTTTTTTATAAATTTTATGAATCTGCATATTACTATTGTAAAAACAATAGTAATATGCAGGATAGAATTCATAAAATTCAATTGTTTTGCTAATTCAGTAATTTGAAAGAATAATTATCTGCATAGATATGTATAAATTTTATTATTGTCAGTAATGTTATTTTTGACCTAACTATAAATTAACGATATAGCTTCGGCAATTCTAATTTAAATTAATAAAGATGTAATGTGCATATTAAAATTTCTATACCTTAAAGATTAGCAATCGCATTTTTAGTATTTAAAATTTTGGATAAAATACGCATACATACAAATTTTACACTGATGTACAGGAAGAATTGTGTTAAATCACACATACAATCAGTGTTTGGCCATTTATATATCATAATATATTCGTCATTTATTTAAATAACAATACTAATTGTATATGTGATTTAATACGTAATATTACAATTCTCTCTGGATTAATGTAAATATCTACTTACAGGTTTTCTCTCTGTATCACTCATTATATTAGAGAAATCTATATCGATATTACTGCAGTACTGTATTATATAACGATAAGCAAAATTCTAGAATTTCGATAGATAATTGAATATTGTAGATTATTGCTAAATTTAGAAATACCATATTTGAAAAAACACCAGACTGTAGATCTAAAATTAATATTTAAAAGTTTGTTATAGATAAACTAAAATATTTTTTTAAAAAAATTATTTTTAAAATTGCATATTTTTGGTTTATAAGTAATCTAAATTTTTTTTCTTATAATCTAAAAATAAA